GACCATCATGGAACCCTTCAGAGCAAGGACACCAAAGGCTTCACACGATTTGGTACATCCGTGCAAGTCACAACAAAAGGTGTACAGGCCATGCGGAAAATGTGGACTCCTGAGGAACTTGCGGCATCGAACCACGATATTGCAAATCTCATGACTGCCGCACGGATTATTACTCCCAATGACCGCCTCGAATCACTCGTACGTATTTGACTACTTTGAATGTAATATATTCTCAAGTTTTTTTAGGCTGCTCATACCGCCAAACGTAGAGCAGAGAAGTAAGCGTTGTACTTGTTATGAATTGCCATAAAGTATTACTTGTATTGTGAAAATAAAAGTAAATATAAGTAATACTGTTGCGTTCAGAATTGTAAATTACTCCAATGCAGTGAAGGGAGTTAGGCCAAAATCTTCACAAAATTCGTTGCATTTATGCTCTTCGGGAAATGCGAGAAAACTGGAGTGAATGTTCCCTTCAGCAAAAATACGTCCAAGAGAACTATGTTTCTATCAGCAATCGTTGAGTAAGGTGAGAGCAGAGATACGGATGTGTCATTATCTGAGGATCAGTGAGAAGAACCAAATCCGAGTCGTAGCTTATGAAGCCCCCTTATATATAAGTAGTTAGAACTTGAAAAATATATAATCGAGAATACGTACCTTGATAGTCGCTTACAAAGGCTGTTTTATCAGTATAAACATACTGCGCATGTTGACAGAACGAAAGGTATAGTGCAACATGGAGTTGAGCCGTATGCGCAAATCTGTCACGGCGAATCTGGGCGGAACCATTATGAATGAATTTATAGAAAACACCTTTGATGCGCTCCTCCACAAGATAAATCTTTGCTCGCTCTTGCTCCCCCTGTTCGATGCAGAGTGCAGCTCCGACAAAATTGACCTTTGGGATGGGAAGTCGTGTCTTGAAGTTGTCTGGCTTGTTTCGTAATGCTGAATGCATAACACCATGGGCCATGCTATTCAACGCCCCAGCCCAAGCGAGCAACAAACACTCCTTAGTTAGATTGACCATCTGGTCTTTGCTTTTATGCGTCTTCTCTAACCCATCATCGCCAATAAAAAATGTCTGTTTGGCACAAATCGGAATTGTTGCAGTGGGCGAACAAATATCGCCATAGTAGGCACGCTTGAAGGTACCAGCCGAGAATGTTGATAAGTCGAGCTTCATAATTCCCGTTCTGGGTGGTGAAAATATCGCCAATCGATCATTTTCCGAAATATCGATAAGCTGCTGAAGCGTGAATTCCTTCACCAAGTCCCGAAGAGTAACGTGAATGTAGCGATCACCAACTAAAGAAATGTGAACAGGTTTGTGGTCAATATGGATATCTTACCAAGACTTGATGCTTCCTTCATTGTCGGTGCATGTTGGTTGGATAATGCAATTCGAAGAGCATTCGTATCCAAATCTTGGAAATTATACGTGGTGTGGGTATTGCTCTGAGAGTTATGGCTTGAAAGAGGATCGGTATCACGATTTGTAGCCGTTGGATGAGTGCTTGATTCAAAGACATGAGCAACATTCGATGCTGATTGAGCATTGGTAAATGGGGTGGTCGGAAGATCATTGGGTTCAAGGGAGCTCGTCTATCATAAAATTAGAGCACAACAATTATTTTATTATTCAACAGATAACTTACCTCTGTCATTGGTTCCCGATGAGATTCGTGGATATCCTCCTCCTCTTCATCATTCATCGCAATCTCATTCCGGCTCTTCCATTGCGTAAACTTACGGAACCACACTGGCTTTACAAGCAAGAGAACTTGAGCAGGGGCCGCGTTGGGCTTGAATCGACCACGTGTTCCATCCTTGTTAAGTTGAAAGTAGTTTCTCGCAATGACACCACTTTCTGTCAAGCCGAGAGGTGCTCGATTTTTGTCGCAAATAGTGATGTCGGTATCGTCCAGGGGGAAGACAGTTTGGCTTCTAAAATTGTACGATGCAATCTCGTCATTGTACATTGGGCGTATTGCTGCAAGACCTTGGTTTAAAAGTTGTTGCCCAGTAGAATGAACGTAGATGTTCGGAACGACTTGAGATACAATCTAGGCAATGTGAGCAACTGATCACAGTTATAAGTCGGATGTACCCCAATTTTCTGATGCTTATTTGACCGAGCAGGGAGGCTTGCTAGTGTAAAGTTAACTGCGCCAACCATACACGAATGTTTTTCGACTGCAGCATTGCGGTAAAAGGCAAGATCTTCCTCATACTTAGCATGTGCGGCATTATAACCATTAGCCGATGCGACAACAGGTCCGATTGAGCTTGAAGTGTTTGTGTTGGTTCGTGCACGTAATGGATCAGGTGGAGGCGCCATCCCACCCTGACCCATTGCTCGTACAATTACTGGCTCTATGGTAAATTTAGCTCCTAATCAATACTATGATCTAGAGCGCACCATTTCTTTGAGCTGCATTGGTTTGAGTATAGATATTGGTATTGCGCTGAGGACCCAATTGCGGAACACGGAAAGAGGTCGAAATTGAATTGCTCTGTGTTGTTTTCTGGGTGCTTATGCTGCTAGTCTTAGCAGTATAGGTTTTTGCCACTATGTGTGAGGTCAACACAAGAAACACTACTTGGAAACTATCACATACCTTGCGAGTCACGTAACATCTGGCTTTTTTGCTTATAATAGACGTAACAGGATGGGCACAACATAGGACCATTTGCTTTGAGTTGTCGGATTGGTGTATCTGGAGGATAGTTCCCATGACCAGGACCTTTGCACTGAGAGCCACGGTCGCATCTGACAGAATCTGTCATTGAGAAGCTGGACTATAATCAGCTTCTTTAGCTTGGAATCCAGCGTGTAACGCTACCACTGAGTCTAAATATCATGTAAGATGAAAAGGAATGAACTTCATGAGCACTCAACCACGTACTTGAACGAAGATAATGCAAGCTGGGCCTTAAAACCTCTTCTCTGTTGTTGTGAGCACAGAACTCAGAATGTCACAATTTGGTCACACTTTTGATTTCAAGGTGACTGGTGCTAAACTTTAGACTACCTCGTTACATATCGTCTTCGTCATCAGTAAATAACTGAGTTAGCAGGTTTTCCGTTTCCTCCTCACTGTTTCCTTCCCCATCACTAAACAAAAGATCATCCGACATTCCATCATCGAGCTCGTCGTTAATTTCACCCTCCAACTCAATATTTTGCTCGAAGACCTGTTGCCCTGACTCAAAGGCTGTTCGAAACTGCTGGTGTACAGGTTGCCCAACTCGGTTAAACTGAGTTTTCAGTGCATTGAATGTTGGCCAGAATGTAGTAGTCGAAACAATAGGTGAGCCCAGTGCCTCATAAAATGGGCGAACAAAGTCTTCGAATGGAGGGCAGGTTAACTGGAAGACAGGATGAGTGGGAGGGGACCAGATTTGTTCCATCTCATCAAACAGTTCCCCAGGAACATGAACCTATTTGCATCATAGGTCAATAACTCGAAATCAAGAAGTAGTCATACCATATAGTTCCTTGCATTGAATCGTTCAGGGTTTCGATGAATCTGACTCGGAATTCCCTGTGGTAAAATTTTGTGTCGGTTTGAGCGACGAGGACTGTTATTGAATCGGTCAACCCAAGCATTGAGCTCTGCCTGCAGCCAAGGAATAGCAAGCCATCGAAAGAGATATCTATAATAAGCAGATATTAGACGTATTCAAAATGTAGACAATCATACGTTTCAACTGGAGTCGGTGTCTTGAAATCGATATATCCCAACGCTTCACCTTGGTTCATAAGTGACTCGAATCCTGGAGCAAAATTTTGTCGTATTATAGACCAGCCAATCTCAGATTTGATGTTCATTTTGTCAAAAAACCACTTGTGCTGAACCGTTCCTTCAAGTGACGGATCAAGACGCTGGCGAATTGTTGAGTGCACATTGGCAATGCCATTATTCTCCCGTCCTGGATCACTAAAAGTGAGGAGTGGAACACCTAAAGAGAAGATAAGTTTCGATAACATCAAGAATTAACAGTACCTCTATCCTTTCGCATAGCCTCAAGATAATAGCTTGTAATTAGGACTGGGTTGCGATTTGTCCACCATATCTTGACCCAAAGAAACTCGCCAGTGAAGGGATCAAGACCCAGATGAAGAAATAGACCATAGTACCGCCACTTATCATGTTGGTCGAAGCTAACAATCTCGCGAGGTCCAGCACTATAAAACCGTCCACGGACAAATTTAGCACGATGTTTGCGTGATTTGACTGCAGCTGGCTCAAATTCATGCAGATATGCCAGAATGGTACGCCTTCAAGTCTGGTTAGACCTGTAATTATCCACAATCAGAATACGTACTCAGCAACCTTGACTTTATGTTCACGACGGAGTGTGACGACAAGTGTGCGAGCACCCATATGAGGGTAAGATACACGAATGCTTCGGACAAGTGCTTTAAACTCATCCCCCAGCCCAGCTGCCTCTCGTTGCCGGACGTTCAGTAGTTGTAGTTTATTGCGTGCGCGAGAGACACTTTTGTAGCTGTTGAAGACTTAGTCTCAGGTGTTCTCCAAGTTCACATCTCTTACTCACCTCACACTATACTTTTCACAATCAAGCTGAAGTTCCTTGACCATATCCAGCTCAATCTCCTTTGCAATCTGAACGTCATTCCAGTTGAATAGCCAGTAGTACTCGACTTTCTTATGGAACCAGTCTTCTGGGGCTAAACAGGCTAAGAACAATATATTGAGGGTGGTCCACATACGTAGCTTGGTTTTGGGCATCTTCGTACACAAGTGTTACAGGCTAAGATGTAGGTAGCTGGGGTCCCTGATCACACCGCATCAATGTTCCGACGTCAAAATTTTGATAGTCCAGAGGCTGTTGCCATAGTGACATGACGTGGTCTGACGTGGCACGATTTTTCATCTGAGACAGCATGTGTTTTTTCGCTTCCACGACACCAGGCGACGGGTGCGCAGTTTTCCCTGCTCTCTCCCATCGTCGACCACTGCTAAGCCATGGGTGCTGTTCTGACCCGCATCTCGCCGCCGAGCTTCAAGCCAGAGCGCGACATTCCTGACCAGACGGGCAAGGTGCGTGGCTCCGTTGGCCTGCTCGCTCCAAACTCACTGCTGCAAGGTCATCATTGTCACTGGGGGCAACACCGGGATTGGGTACGAGACTGTGAAGCAGCTACTACTCAAGAACGCGACGGTGTACCTCGCGGCGCGTTCGGCGGAGAAGGCTGCTGCTGCTATCGCTCGACTGAAGACCGAGACGAATGGGAGGGAGGCTGTATTCCTTGAGCTTGACCTGGCGGATCTCCCCAGTGTCAAGAAGTCTGCGCAGACTTTTTTGGCGAGGGAGGAGAAGCTCCATGTCTTGATTAACAACGCGTGCGTGTTGGCTTCATCTCTGTCTCCCGCGCTGATAAAGGAGACGACGCCAGAGGTGTCATGAATTGCCCGACGGATATGCTCACGAATCAGGGCTATGATATGCGTGCGCCATGGTCAATCTTATCCAGTTGCATTCTGACCCAGCCACAGAATTCGGCACCAATGTCATCGGCCACTACCTGTTCACGACCCTCCTTCTCCCAGCACTGCGCAAGGCCGCAACCGACACCGTCCCCGCCCGCGCCATCCACGTATCGTCAGCGGGACACATGCTCGCTCCGGGCCGTGGAATCGAGTTCGCTAGCATCACGGGCTCGAAGGAGAGAGACAGATGGGTTAAGGCGAAAGGCGGCTTTCTCGCTCCATGGTGCGCCCCAGCTGTTGCTCGTCTGCCCTCATCTCACTCTTCAAGGTGGCTGTACGGACAGAGCAAGCTGGGCAATATATACCTTGCCAATTATTTCGCGAAGACCTACCCCGACGTGCTTGTTTCTTGTTCGCTGCACCCAGGCGTAATCCGGAGCGAGCTCCAGCGGTGCGTCGGCACGACGGCTCTGTTGTCTCGGGGTGCTCACGTTGTCTAGACATTCGGCTGGTTGGATGCAGGTCATCGGGAACGGCATTTTTTACCCAACTCCGTGCGTTCCCCAGCTCTTGCGCGGCTGCCTATTTCACCTGATCGTCTAGACTTGGCGCACTTACCCAGCTGTGGGGGGCGACCATTGCGACACCGGCGCAGGTCACTGGCCAGGTGCGTTGATATCATCCATGCTGGCGCCAATTCATCGTCCATTCAGTATTTGGTGCCGTGGGGCCGCGTGGCGACTCCGGATAAACGCGCAAGGGATGTGAAGATGGAGGACGAGATGATTGTGTTCGTGAAGGACGCCGTGAAGGAGTATATATAGCTTCTGGGAATAGAACGAGACGCGATGCAGGTCTCGAGTTCGGAGTTCTAGTTAATGTTCAAATCATTGATTCTAGTTCAAATCTATCGTCTATGGGGTGCAATCAATCAGCGAATATGAGTATAACCTCGACACAAGTCGTCCCACCAGCCACCCTCGCGCCGTATGAATCGTGTCCCCTCCACAGTCCACTCCTTCCGGAAGCCGTTTCCGTGGTGACTATCCTCCGTCCAATCCCAGCCATGCCTCTGCTTTCCAGACCAGTAGCGAGGTACGCGCATCATCGATACCGCCGTCAGCCGGCCCTCCGTTTCAGCCCCCACCGGGAGGCCCATTCGGACGGAGCGCAGTGCAGGATTATGCGGTGTCCACGCACACAACAGCTCCCGCATCTCCTCGATGTCTGCGTCGCTGGGCGGGCCCCCTTCGGTATCACGGTCATACCTGAATCCAAAGTCGTCATATCTGTAATTGATTGATGGGCCTTTGTTAAAGTAAAACATTGGGGGCGTGTTGAACTGGATGGTAGGAGCAGGGACCAGTCGTAAAGTGTGCAGATGCTGCAGTTGGGGCAGACAGTCGATGCCGAGACGGAAAAGCGCCTCCTGCGGCGTTGGTCAGCGATGCATTGACAGCTCATGAAGATGTACTCGCCGGTGTTGGAGCCCCGTCGTGGTATATTACCTCCAGGATTTCACAGTTGACGAGCTCCACTGCGTTTTCTATGACTTGATCCTGCCACTCCATGACACGCAGCGACACAACACGCAGGGAGGTGTGCGACACCGAAAGATGGACCAGGAACTGGGCCAGCGTGGGGTCTTCCCAGGCTCCGTAGCGTGCGAGGCTGACATGGTACTTCTTAGAGTTGGGGATCGGGGACACGATGCGCAGCCACTTGAGGTCGGGGGCCGTTGAGAGCAGGTTCATTTCTGGGCCGTGCATGAGGAACCACGGCGCTGACAGGCCGACCAGGCGCTTGAGACGTGGCGGGGGGGAGTTTGCTGGCAGCAGGGCAAAGCCATGCGGCCCAAGGGGCGGGGTCGGAATAGGCCCCGGCACGTAGTCGTTATCTGTGGGCCGCGCAGCTGGGCTCTGGAGCGGGACGGAGATGTCCAAGTGTCGAAGATCATGGGCATGCACTAGCAAATGGCCGATGCGCTTCACCTGGTTCGTAGCAATGCGGTGAAACTGAATGCCGAGCGAGCTGAGCCCCGCCCCCATCCTTTCGCCAAGTGGTTGCTGGGGGTCGTCGATGACGAGGATGCGGGGAGAGAAGGACGGGTGGGCGGCAATTGGGCCAGTGGGCATTGGCGGCGGTTGGAATCCACCGCCTCCCGACCCACGGTGGCGAAGCAATTCAAATCGAATGTCCGTTAAGACACGATGAGATGGGGGCGGCAGTCCCAGCGGTTGCGAGCCATCGCAGCCAACGAAAGTGAGAACCTCTATCCGGGGCAACGCATGTATGGTGTTGAATAGTAGATGAAACTGGACTGGCTGCGTGACTGTGAGGTGGCGCAGGTTCCGAAAGCGTTGGATTCCCATGAAGATACTCCCCATTTGACCTATTCGCGAAGCTGAGGGGGAACACTGTGTTGTAGCATTGCCGAAGGATGCTTACCTTTATCGGCGGGACCGTCGACGAGGCGGAGCGATACACTCAAGACGAACCCCGCTTTCTCCTGATTGGTGGGCCTATCCCAGAAGGGCTGGTGCTGCACGGCTAAGGCGAGGTTGCGCCAGGAGACGTTATGGAGCAACGACTCTGTGGCCCATTCGTTGAATTGGCGGGATACACGGGCAGCTGCAGCGAGGGACTGCTTGTCGTCCGCCAACTGAAAGATGCGGAGCCATATCTCCGCAGGGAGGGGACTGGAAACGGTCGTCGTCATGGTGTGAGGAGAGAAGCGGTCTAGATCGGCTCGGCAACTTGGAAGTCACCGACGGTCTAGACACTGTGATGGGCCATCAAGTCTGACATCATGCAGGTAATGCCACGTCGACATCACTTTGCTCTTCCCCTCATCTGCGCGTTCGTGTCGCCGCTTCGATTCGACTTCTGTTACCACTGGCGCATGCTCTCCGTAAACAATTCCATCGGCACACTTACCCCAAAGCCTAACGGGCGGAGCTCCGGCCGCGCATGCTGTTCCTGCTGTAATCTACGGTCCACCTGAATTTAGCCCAGCCAGCCGTAGTACCCCAGCAGATTATAATTATCGCTACAAAGGGAAACGAGACAAGACATCTCGCTCATGACGAACATTTTGATAAAGTCGCCAGTGATCGACTCCCCGCTCTTGTTTTACCCATTCGGGGACGACGACCGCCACCCCCGCGGCTCATACTCTCGCACCGCCCAGGGATGCGATACTTCCGCGGTGGTATGATGAGCGGCAACTGGATGTCTCGCTCGCGATCGGTGAGTACACCAAAACAGCTTCCACGGCGCTGAATTGGCAATACGATAGGAGCGCACACCGTTTGCCGGCGTGCCAAGGCGATATATGGGATCAAGACAAGGCGAATTTAGCGAGCTCACAAAAGCTAATCCTCGTACAAAAGCAGAGACGCCGTGCTTGGCTGCCGGCAGCCCTTTCTTCCCCTCTCCGCTAACGACAAATACCGCACAATGAGCACCGACGCGATTCCGATTCCGAGGCTACATGGTACATTGGGGACGACCGAAGTCGGGGCTATCATAGGGTGCGTCGATTGTCTATCGCATTCTCGGACATTGACTGTCATTCCTACCAGGACGTTCCTCTTTGGAATTGCGTCCCTGCAAACCTTCCTCTATTACTACAGCTATCCGAAAGATCCACGCGGTCTAAAGCTCGTCGTAAGCCGACCGATACATTGCATTTGAGCTCCAGCTGACGTCTCCTAGGTCGCAATTATCATGTTTGTGCACTCTCAGCTTCTCGACCACCGTCTTATCTTCGCCAGGACCCTGGAATTAGTCCATTCAGTCTTGGTGTGGCATGGGGTGCGTGATCCTCCTTCGGCCGTACGATTACTAACCGATAAATCCAGGTCTACTCTATTACCGTCACATTCTACGGGCAGATCGAGCATCTGCTCAACCCTCCTCACTCGTTGTCTCTATCTATCCTCATCACCGCGCTTATTCTCCCATTGGTCCAGGTATGCCTCGCCGCCTTGATCGTTTCGCTGTCTCGTTGTCCAACCATTGTAGACATTCTACGCCCTTCGCATCCAAGCGCTGTCTGGCAGCTGGACCATTACCCTCATACTCACCACCCTCACAATCGCGCGTCTGGGCTTCAGCATCGTGCTGATGCAAATCTTCCTGACATCCACAGGCTTTTCCGTTCTTCATACCGAAGCGCGCTGGGTCTTCACCACGGTTGCGTCGCTGGGGCCGGCCGTCGATATCTTGACAGCCGCCTCTCTGTGCTGGTACTTGTATCATATGAAGGCGGGGAGCCAGCCCGGCGCCCCGAGCCGGCGGATCGTCGACACGCTTATTGTTTGGACTGTCGGTGCGTATACTGGCCAAGTCGATCTGAATTCGCCACCGACCACGTATTTTCAGAGACGACTGCTGTGACAAGCCTTGCAGGGCTTTTCCAGCTGATTTTCGTATGTGACCCTTCTTGCGTTGCGGACGAGTGAATGGATTAACTTGTTTATCAGTTCCTCACACGCGATGACTGTTTGTTTTGTCTCTCCGGCTCTTTTCACGCTAGGTTAACGGATGAACGGCAGTAACATGGATGACGTTTTATCTTCTCCAACCGAAATGTGCGTGGCCGACAATATTTGTCCGTGCGCCGAGCTAATTCTCAGCTTCGTAGTGTTCTCTAATTCAATGCTCGCATCGTATGCTCCACTTCGTTATCCGCTATTCCACAACACTGACCATTTGAAGCCTCAACAATCGTAATAACATTCGCGACATGGCGGGCGCCGGCGGCGTCATTACACTGAGCGCCCAGGACACGCGCGGCGGGGTGAGCACCATACAATGTCTTTCTTTCCTGCTCCTTCTATCGTCTGGTCTCTCGTCTGACGGTGGAACTTTGTCCTGGCAGGGTGTCGTGATCCAGATGCGTCGCATGACGGAGACGAATATCGACGGGGATGGGGATAACTTGGATGGCGGCCGCGTTTTCTCCAAGGTTGGTGCGATTCCGCTTGGCTACTCAGTGGGTTGATTTTGTTGTGTGCCAGTTAGGGGACGAGCACAGTGTACACCCACTGAATGAAGGACCGGACGGATTACGGGACGGCGGCTCAATGCGGAAGTCTAGAAATACAGATTAATTTTGTTTTTAATTGACGAAAACCTTCGCGATTTGGATATCTTTTGTCCGTATATATACTCACACCAACATTTTTCTCTTAAAACAACAATTACATCAATGTGATTGTGATAGATGAAAAAAATTAAAATCGCTAATCGCTGACTCGGATCATGACGTTAACACCATCCTTCTTTTCACTCAACCACGACGACGATATCGATTGTACATGGGCAGTCCTTTCGATATGCATGGAAGATATCATACAGGACCCGTCCATGACTGACCCTTCCAATCTCGTCGCTAACTGCTGGGGCGGCAATGAGGCTTAGAGGAGGCTTTGGGCAAGGGTAGGACTCACATTGACCTATTTCTGTAAATATCCGCACAAAACTGACAGGTTTTCTCTCGCAGGTGCTTCCGGGCCTTCCAAATCCTCCGCCCGGATGCCGACTTCGATGGGACAACGGGGGACTGGGGAAGAGCCTGAGGCCTCGTTTTTGCCTGTTGTTCGCCATCGATAGGAGGCATTTGCAGGCCCAACTTCCTGGTCTCTAGGTACATGCTTCAGCGGAGCGAATGGCGCCGCATATCAATATGCAGCCCTCAAAATCCGAGTCGCCGCGGCTAGGTGTGTACCAGTATATAAGTACCGTCTGGCTTGAAGGCTCATTGTAGCCAGCACTGCACTACATGGCCGCTCCAGCACAACATCTTCTTGCCACAGAGTCCAAGGCACTCTTCTACTCCATCCTTGAGTCCACCGCCGGCCCTCCCAACGCCAAGGCTGCCGAAGGGACAAACAACCCAGATCTCGACCAACTCCTCATTCAAAATGCGCGCTGGGTCGCTGGCAAGCCTCCCGGCTTCTTTGAGGAATTGGCGGGGCGGACCCAGACTCCAAAGGTGCGTGTGGAACCGCTTATCGAGAATGTACTAAGCACTTTGCAATAGGTATTGTGGTTTGGATGCGCAGATTCGCGTCTCGCGGAAACTACGATTTGTAATTGCGAGCTCGGAGATGTGTTCACTCATCGTAACATTGCCAAGTAAGGCTCATTCCTGTCGGTGACATGATACTGCTCATGTTTCAGTCTATTCCCGGTCGACGACGATAACAGCCATGCCGTTCTTGACTATGCTGTCAATGTGCTCAAGGTTGAACATAGCAAGTGTCGCTCATGTCCCCTCGTTTATGACCTTGACTCTTCCTTCAGTTGTCGTGGTCGGCCACACACGCTGCGGAGGCGTCGAGGCTGCCTGGGAATGGTCGAAACTCCGACGCGTAGACGACCCATCGACCCCGGTCGCACGCTGGCTCATTCCGCTCATCGAACTGGCCCGCGATCCAAAGAGGTTCCCGTTGATTCCTTCGGAATCTAGGGAGGACACTCTGCGAAGATTAACGGTAGCAAATATTTCACAGCAAGTACGTGATGGGCCAGAAGTCCCGTTTAATACCCTAATCCATTCCTTGTAGATTCGAAATATTCGCGGATCACTAGTTATGCAAAACGTCAATGACTCGCGCCGGCTTCAATTTCACGGTCTCTTGTTTTCTCTTGAAAACGGGAAGATCCGAGCAGGCCCAGGAGACGACGACTCGGGGGAAGGGGGATCACTGGCAGGATTTCCATGTACCGATTAAATGTGCATTTGTCTAATAATCAGTTTCATTTACTTTTGAAGATTAAATGGTTGTGATAGAGATGTAGTTATACCTCAATTGCAAGCAGCACCATGTTAGGTATCAATCATCGCAAAAATTACAATTGAGTATAATCTACTATATTAATTAAGTACAAAGTGACACATGATATCTCGGATCAGGACGGTCGCCATCTTGACTCCTCCTGTCACCATGCCCAGAGGATTTTCCGCCTCATCGTTGCCACAATCGCACGACCACACGACAAGCACACTGTCGCCATACGCTGAGGAACGGCATGTGATACACTTGTGAGCTTTTGCTCTTTCCCCTCGTTTTCGTGCCCCCTCCCTCCCCGCTCCATGTAATGCCGTTGGACGTTGCTCATTCGCAAGCCCCGGACCCTCCCATGCGTTCGTCCAGCATCTCCCTCGTTAATCCCCCCCTCAAAGACCAGTTCAGGTCGTGCCGCATCTGAAGCACCCCCTCAAGTTACCTTATGGCAGTTTGGCGGTGAACGTCTACTTAACGGGAAACTCACCCTCCCACTCGTCCCTCTTGGAACCGCAACCCCGACCCCGCCAGCCTCTGCCTCACGGGCTACGCTGGGACCGCAAACGACGTACCTCTACCAGGTGGTCAACCCCAGCCCGACAACAACAGTGAGAGATGGGTTGTTTACGACCGAAACTGTGGCCGTTACAGGTGTGTCCAACGACTTCCGCGTTAAGCTCCTCAGCTAATGACTATGTCTTAGGCGCCAGAACGATCGTCGCCAGCGCCTCGGGGTGGTATGAGCCACTCCCAAGCGGCGCCAGCATCCAGTGCAGCTTCGTCAACACGACTTACGGCGAATGCTTCGATGGAAAGTCGGGTTCTACGACACTGGCGAATCGCGGAAAGCCCACGCCTGTTGTTCTTGCTGTGTCTATTGCCTGTGCGTCTCCTCATCTCATTTATCACACGTCATCTGAATGACGACAAATGACTAGCCTCCGTTCCTTCCACTTCCACCTCCCTCGCGCCTTCTGCATCTTCCTCCTCCCCTGCCCGTCCCCACCCAAGCACCCTTGTTGGCGTTGTCGTCGGCACCATCATTGGCCTCATGATCATCGTTCTTTTCGCATTCCTCACATTCATTTTCCGCCGGCGCACTCGGCTCCGACAGCGGCGGTCTGAGATGATTCGCTTCCCTTGTCCAGAGTCCACGACTTCGCTGCCAGGTCAGAAGCAGTGGTCCGCACCGCAGGTTGAAACCGGGCAGTATGGGTCTGTCGGTTTGGTTACACCAACAACAGGGACATTCAGCCCCAGCTACGTCCAGTACAATGACAGCGCCCATTCTCTATACCCGCCCACCCTCACTCCCGCAACGACATCGGTTCCTAACACCCATTCTCAGTGGCGCTCGGGGGAAACGGCACCCTCCTTGAATGCACCCCCGACCACTTCTCTTCCCGGGGGCGAAGGGAGGGACAAGGCGTTGCCCCGGATTCCCGACCGGAAATCGACAGCGACCGCGATTTACGACGAGCCGCCGCCCAGGTACACGCAGTTAGTAGACTCACATAAAGTGAGGTGGGATGTGCGGAGAGAGTAGGTATGGGTATCCACCGATGTTGTCCTAATGTAGTGGTTGGTGTACTACTGATCTTACTGGGTTTCTGTTCTCGAACCAGCCCGAAAGAGAAAATTTCGGCTTCAGCGGGTTTAGACTAATCCGATCCGTAACCGCGTGACACGCCAAGACCCTCTTTTGCCTCTCGACACGACAGGCAAATGGAAGAAGAGGAGACGGCTGCTCGTCCGTTGAAACGCGCACGAAGCGACTCGCCTTTGCTCAACGAGGAACTGCCGCAGCGCAACACCGACTTCTACTTCGAGTCTGACACCCTTTGTGTCATCCGTGTCGAGCAGACGCTCTTCAGAGTGCGACTGCGTTGTGAAAGTCTCAGTTTTGGACTGACAACGCCCAGGTCCACAGATACCTTCTTATACAGGCTTCTCCCATCTTCGCCAACCTCTTTGAACTCCCTCAAGGAAACTTGGTGATCGAAGGGACCAGCGATGCGAACCCCATAGTTTTGCCCGATTCTGCGGCAGATTTCGCTAGCTTGCTGAAATATCTCTACCGAAGGTGCGTTGCAATGCTTATGGGCCGTGATTCTCCTACTTATCCCTGCCCTTCAGCGCTTCTGACGCCGGCGCTCAGGACATCCCAGTTTCAGAGCTTCACAACGTCTTCGGCGTTGCGCGTCTCTCGCACAAGTACGAGATGGCCAGCTGGCAGAAGTGGGCTGCGCGGTGTCTCCGCGAACTTGTATCATCCAGCGGGGCAGTGTTCTCCTCCGAAGATTTTGTGGAAGCGTACGACCTCGCCTACCGCCTCCCTGACCAGAATCTTCCCAAGAAATTGTGGGTTGTGTGGTGGAAACGCGTCGCTGATGGCCAACTTCCGATCGTCCCCGCGCTCGATGCCGGCGAAAAGCACAACCACCGCTCCTTCCTCGCATCCTTGTACGAACTCGAACTCGCCACGCTACCGATGGGAAATGCCGCGCCAGTTTTGAGCTTCCCGGGCTTCAAGCCGGTCCACATCCAGCGGATCTTTGTTGGTCACTGGTCCCTTTCGAACTGGTGGACACAGTTTACGGAGACAATCCCTGTTTTCCCGATCACCAGTGAGCGCTCCTGTCAGCAAGCGGGACAACATGTCCCGCAGTGTACCGCGAATTACGCCCGCATCTGGAGAGATGCGTATACAGCTGCAGCCGCCAAATATCCGTCTACGTCGCAAGTCCGCCAGCGTGTGGTAGAGATGACCAAGTCCTTCACTAGCCCTCAGATTTCTGGGACTCTCTGCCGGTACAAAGCAGGCGCGGTTGACGACCCGCTCGCAAAAGCGACCAAGGCTCTATCGAGCTATACAAACCATTTTTTCGGTGCGTCGTTGTCGCCCGAACTTCACTATGAATACTGAGAATGACGACAGCCGCTGAAAACGGTTTAGCTTCGGCCGAGTGATACTACCTCATTTGAAATCATTAAAATAGCACTTGGTCGCCGTCATCATGCTGTCTCAAATGTCTTGTTTGAAGTTGTTTCTGATAAGACTATTGTCCTTGTGATGGATTGAAGCGATACTTAAAGCAAGACCGCCAACTTGGCATAAGTATTATTGAAACCAGTGGCTGGCAAACCATTAATAGCTGCATTATGATCATCTACAACTACCAGTAGTTTGAATAGTGATACTATCTTCCATCAACTCCGCAGGGTACTGGAACCAGGAATGCTGACTGGTAGGGCTCCAATCATCCAGCTTCCATTTACACATCGGTGAAGAATGGTTTGGAAAATGTTTATGTACACCGTTCTTTTCTCAAGTAGTCTTGATTGAGATATATCTGGTATATATGATCCACCTGCCTGATAATATCTTGAGATTTGGACTCAAACAAATGAGGGTTTCTGCAAGGCACATCGGGGATTCAGGCAAAAAGGGCGGCCTGAAGCTGTATTTAAATGGCAGAGATTTGGTGCTGAAAGTTGATTGCTGCCAAATCAAGGCCCCCAATGTAGATGCACGTGACCGGGAAATTTCCAAATAAGGTAGTTTAACGGCCACGTGCACGGAAATCAAGAGCCTTGATTTACCAGCAATCTGGGCCATTGATTTTGGCACATATCTGTGACATATAAATCCTACTTCGGGTGGCCTTTTTTGCGCGAATCCCCAGTGTGCTAAGGGGGTTCATCATTTGAATCACAGATCTAGGGTTGGAAAGTGTTTTTCCGACCCTCTGGGGACCCCTCTCCTGCCATATAGGGTCATATCTTCCCACAATTAGCATCACATGACCACTGATGCAATCAAAAAGTAGCATAAAAAATTCAATCTTGGTGAAAGTTTTTTTTTTCAAAAAGATTATATATGTATATCTTATATGTGTAGGTATATACAGTTGCAGAGAATCAAAGCTGACAAGTTGTATTACTCAAAATTTATATGTAGGAATGAAAAACTAAGTGTACAGCTGGAAAAAGGGATTTTTTTTTTTTTTCCCTTTCAGAAACTATCAAACCTTTTTTCAAAATTATAACTTTTTAGTGCCAGATACCTGGCAAATCTTCGACACCCCTAAAATCTCACGCTATTATGATATATGGGGTATCAACAGACAGGTTTCGTTGAGCTCTATTCAGCCAGACCTGCTTCAGGACAATCCTACATTTAGTTATAAATAAATTATGACTTTGATGGCAGAGGGTTGACATGGGAAAAACTAGCTAACCACTTCTTCCGCAGTTGTTCCTTGGCTGTTTTTGCTACTTCAATGGACATGGCCTTAAATACAACCCTTCCCAGGTTTCCCTCCTTGCCTCCCACCCTCACTATGCTCCCCAAACGCAAGTATGGTAGGTGAAGAATGAGTTTCTTCAGGGTTAAAGGCAAGGAAGGACTTGCTCGGATCACCAGACCCAAGCATGGTGCTTTGTCCACTAGCTTTCAAGACGTATCGTGATAGGATGCATCTTTGTCCTTCTTTTCTCCTTCGTCACTCCAGGCTCGCAGCAGCAGCCTGTTTCTTGTTTTCCCCACCCACCATCCCTTACATTACATTCCACATCCACTATTCAGACATTTCATTCACCTTGACAAGCCTGCTCGTCACAAGTCACACGTTGTCACTAGTTTTGATTTCCTATTTTAGTTTCCACTTCCTTTTCTAGTTGCCATTTTCTACCTTTGTTTCCATTTCCTATCTTTCCTGACTTTGTTGCTCATTTGCCATTTGATTTTAGTTTCTATTTCATTTAGCCCTTATTTATCTAGTCTATAAAAGATTGTCCATAGTTAGTAGTTAGCCCAGTGCTTTCCCTCCCAGTCTTTCCCTTCTGACTTTGAGTTCTCTCTTGAGTTCATGAGTTCTTGGTGTTGAGTTTCTTGAGGGGTTTGTTAGCTCCTCAACCCCTCCGGAGACGTCATGATCTACCTTGATGACATCCTGATCGCCCATTCCGACCTCTGAAAACACTGGCAGATTGTTCAGGAGGTCTTATGGCGACTCCGAGAGCACAAGTTGTAGGTCGATGCAGTAGGGGCAGCCCGCCTCTACTACCGGAACGTCTGGCAGCACCATGGGACTCTGGAGAAGTACATCTCCAACCACGGCTCGCAGTTCATTGTGGACTTCACACGAGAACTTTGGCGTCTAATCGGCATTAAGCCCGCCACGTCCACCGCGTATCACCTGCAGACAGACGGGCAGACAGAACACGTCAACCAGGAGTTGGAGCAATACCTGCGGATCTTCACCAACTATCAGCAGGACGACTGGGACGAGCTGATTCCGGCCGCGGAGTTTGCCTACAACAACCATGTTCACTCCTCCACGCAACAAGTCCTGTTCATGACGGACTCGGGCCGGCTCCTGCGCATGGGCTTCGAACCCGGAGTCCGCTCCGCTATGGAGTCTGTGAATGAGTTCCGCAACCGGATTGCCACTGGTGTTGCTGAAGCCAAGGCCACGCTCACAAAGGCCAAGGAGGAGTACAAACGCTACTATGACCGGAGACGCACTCCGTCTCCGGAGTTTAAGGTTGGCGACCGTGTTTGGCTGGATGCCTCTGACCTCAGGACGACTCGGCCCTCGGAAAAGTTCTTCCATCGCCGCCTCGGACCGTTCAAGATAGTCGCGGAGATCAGCAAAGGTGCCTACAAGCTCGACCTCCCTCCGTGCTACTCGAAGCTCCACCCAGTCTTCCCTGTCGTCAAGCTCGAGCTCACCCAGGACGACCCCATGGACGCCCCCCCCCCGGCTACGACCAGCCTCCTCCGGACCTCAAGGACGGAGTCCCGGAGTGGAAAGTAGAGGAAATCTTGGACGCAACGGTGAGGTATAAACGGCTGAACTACTTTGTCAGATGGAAAGGCTATGACGCGTCGCGCACGACCAGTGGGTCCGCTTTGACCGTGTCTTCGCCCTGGAGAAAATTGCGGAGTTCTATCGTAAGTACCCTGGCAAGCCACGGCATATCGCCTCCGTGACCTTCGACTCGATTCCTTTCTGGTCTATGCGTCGGGACGCCACATTCAAAGGGGGGGTGATGTCAGGGCAACCCCCCCTTTCGGCCCCTCGGAGACACGTCCGACTCCGGTCCGATTCCGGTTCCGACTCCAGTCCGGCCCTCCATCTCGCCCGCACAATCACCGATCCGTCAACGCCCTCCCGACAGTCGCCCTGGGACCTCGCCTGTGACGCCTCCCAAGCCTTCTGTGCCCGACAGCGGCAGCTACGGACAAGCAGTATATAGTCAGCTCCCTAGCAGGCAGACCCTTAGAGTTTCTTCTCTTTGGATCCTCCCCTGCTTGAGCTCATGTGAAATGACCGCTGTGATGCATGCCGACTTGATATCGGGGAAGAGGGATCGGAGGGACGGTGACGCACCTGTCGGCGCGTTGAGCGGCGCGAGGGGTGCGATAAACTGTGGCGCAGGCTTCTGGGCCACGGGAATTACTGGTGGTGGTGGGACCGGGGCCGGGGCCGGGGCTTGGTCTGGCAGAGCATTCCTCACGGATTGCTGGATTGCCATAAGGACCGTGGCAAGCTGCGCTTCCAGCCCAGATAGCCGCTCCTCGGTTGTGGGCACTGGTGGGCTGTTTGCGCCACCACTGGGGCCGGCATTACCGCTTCCGGAGGCTTCACCGTCTGCCATCGTGAGAAGCTGAGTGGGACGCGGGGTAAGGGGGGTCCCAGGAGTCTCGGGTCTTTCGGAGAAGATGGGGGAAGGAGTACGGCTAGGTCGAGTGGCGAATCGTCCTCGGACGCGATAAGGCTCACGTCGGTTAGCCGTGGCAGCGGTTTACGGTTGTAAAGAATTTAAATGACACGAATTGTTCTGCGAGCACAGTGTGAGATGAGGAGAATGTACGATAGCTGAGACTGACTTACCTGCGAGCGCAGTGTGAGACGATAAGTCTCGACAGCGCTCGCAGGCGGCTTATATACTATGCGGAGGGGGTCCGAGCACTGTGCTTGGGACTCCAAGCGCTGGCGCGCTTGGGCGGCGTCCACGCTTGCCTGCTAACCCGGGTCAATCCACCCCACCACTAATTGACCCGCCAACATCATCAGGTCACATGATAAGCAATCATGGGAATATATTACCCGATATGGTAGTGGTCCCAGAAGGCCCTTAGAAAACCTTTTGACAGTATATCCGGTAACTCCAGTTTTCAAATAATGACACCCCCTTGGCTGAAGGTTGCAAATAAATTTATTTAGGCAGTCAATATCCCATCATACAAAGAATATTATCAATATCTGCAAAGATATATATATGTTTGCTTTTTCGCGTTCCTCGGGAGTCTTTGGAGACTGCGCTTTTGAGAGTTGGACCGACATGTCAACAGGAGTATAGACAGCCTTTGCATCGTCTTGTCGGTAGCGCTTCACCATCGAATCAATATAAAATCGATGGGACAGTGATATCGTGCGCTTAGCACGGTCTCGGATGATCTCGACTCCAAGAATGGATTTTGCTTTCCCCAAATCTTTGATCTCGACGTGCTTTGCGATCTGTTGCTTCAGTAGAGTAACCTCAGCCACGGACGAGCAGAACAACCCAAGATCATCAACGTGAGTGCTGATAATGGAGGTAGCGGTGTTGGAGCGACGAATGAAGACGCACGGATTGGCAACACAGACCCGGAAGCCAAGCGCGACCAGAATAGATCGAAGCTTGTAGTACCAGAGATATGCGGCCTGTTTCAGCCTGTACAATGCCTTCAGAAGGCGCCAGACCCAGTTCTCCTTCCCGCGGACAGCATAACCAGGAGGCTGACGCATGTAGATGGGTTGGTCGGGGTCAGTCTCGCTGTTTGTAAGGGCAACCCCGGAGGCCTGAGATCAAGGTCCTAGCAGGGGAGGATCCAAAGCGTGAACATTGGTAAGCGAATACAAATGAAGCTGACCTAGCAGGGGAGGATCCAAAGAGAAGAAACTCTAAGGGTCCGCCTG